ATAACTCTTTAACAAGATGCCCTCAATCGATGCTTATTCTTACGTATCGCTTTGTTTCAGTCTGACGAGTAAATATGAAATGATTCCGTTTCGATTCTTGCAAACTTCTGAACTGTGTTTTTTGCCATGTAAAGTATCAGTTTATGCGAATATAAACAAATCATGTTTGAATTTGTGCAGCCGTTGGGGTGGGCATATCACAGAACGTTTCCATCAAAATGTTTTCTTCGATGGCTGCGAGTTGCAGATTTCATGGAGCGTAATTTCAGGATACAGTGACGAGTGTTGTTGATGGACATCGATTCGTGTATTCGGTGATTGACGGCGACGAGACGCTTATAGATTTGGATCGTCATTCGGGAGTGATTCTGTTGGCACGTACAATAGCCGATGAAGATATTCGCATGCATCAAAAGCATTTGAATATTTCTGTCAGTGATGGCGTGTTTACTGCATATTCACAGTTGATTATTGAGATTGTTGCGAGTACATCACGACGAGCATTGCCTCGCTTCGAACAAGCGCAGTATTCGGCCAGTGTCAGTGAAAACGGGTAATTTTTTTTCTTGTTTTGTCTTTGTTTTTTTTCGTATCTTGTCGTTGGAAAATGAACTTGTTCCGACTTGAAATGGGTTGATCACTAAGGTGTCATTAATTTGATGTTGCACTGGTTGGTTATCTTGCCTATAATAATCGCCCTGTGAGAAACTTGATTTCAGAATTTTGTGATGATTGAATTTGTTGAGTGAAGTTATTTACTTCGAAGGCTTCGTGAAAACTAGTTTTAGTGGGCTATGTCGATCTTCATTGAGGTGTACTTGCAGAAAAATTGGTGCCCCAATAATCAGGATACGTGCTCGAGAAGGTATTCCACCACTGAAATATTCGTTTGGTGGCAATAACGACCTTCGAACATGGCCTGTTGCGATCGATAAGGAATCCGGAAAGGTCACTTCAAGGTGGGTGGATTGATAAATTCGTAGAGACTGATTGTTTCATTCTCAGAGATTTTATGGACGAAGAAATGCCCAATTGATTTTAATTTTTTGCTATATACTTTATGCTTCGTTCAGTATTAGCGCCAGAGAACAATAAATCTTTGAGTGCTTGTCATTTTGAAGCAAAGAGCTATTTCTGATATAATATCATCTTCATTATACTGCTCATTGTTTTGCTCTAAAACGAGTAATCCTTTGCTTCATCGACTGTTAT